CCCTAAACCCCAGACCCAATATCCTAAACCCTAAGCCCTGACCCCTAAACCCTGAACTCCCAAAAAATCCCTAAACCCCAGACCCAATATCCTAAACCCTGACCCCTAAACCCTGCACTCCAAAAACACGCCAAACCCCAGACCCAACGATCCTAAAGCCGACTTTCAGGGCGTTCTGCTTCAGGCTTCGGCTTCGGGCCAGGCTTTGAACCTCTACTTGGTTTAGGGTTTAGGGTTAGTTATAAGTGGAGTTATAAGTAGGGTAGCTAGAGTTATAACCCATATTAGGGGACTTATAACCCCACTTATAACTACCCATGAACCTCCAAGTAGGGGTGCGTCGGTGGATGATATAAATCCTGCATCTGGTAAGCTGCCAGGGGTTAAGCCGTCAAATCTAAACCCTGAGCCCTCAACCTTAATGCGTAAAGCCCTAAACTCGCTGGGGAGCTTGTCGCACGGCCGAGGCCGTTCGTGGCGTCATGAAGCGCATAGCATCCATCTCGGCGCCCAGCTACCGCCGATGGCGGTAGATGAGCAGCCGCTCACCCAGAGACTCCAAAACCCTTTAATTAAGGAATATACCTTAAATCTTATTAGGGCTCCTATTCTAATTTAAAAGGAATATACCTTAATTAAGGTTTCCTATTATAATGTAGAGTATATTCCTTAATTAAGTGGTTTTGGAGTCTCTGGGCAAGTGCTGTCGCATGTCGGACCGCGCCCAGGAACCCAGAGCTGGACTTATGGACTGCAAGGCGGATGTCCGTAAGGACGACATGAGCCCTAAAAAGGGTTTATAAGGTTCATATACCACATAGGGAATTCCATAGTATACGGGTATATAGTGCCGCTACCTTTAATAAAGGGTCATTTCGTCCTTTCTGTGATGTGTCATACGGCTGATGATATAAAGCCTGCAGTACCAAAAGTATAAGGAGTAGACCATAGTTCCCATAGTTTAGGGCCCTTAAGGTAATGCAAGATGTATATCGTCAAGAGCCTTGTAACTCCGGGGCTGCAAGTCTGAGATTCGCGGCACAGCGCACAGACCAGTTGTGCCATCCCTGATAATTCATGTTGCAAGGACCCCAGAGAGCCCAAAATTCTCAAGAAAATTAAGGAATATATACCTTAAATCTTAATATGAAGGCCCCTGTAATTTAAGGTATATTCCGTATTGAAGGGGTATTGGGCTCTCTGGGAAGAAGATGCGAAGCATTGCGACAAACCCTTCCCGTGCCTCCAGCATGTCGTTCCAACTTCGTTTGACCACATGACAGCCGCACCCTCAAGCATGACCCCAACACCATGAGCCTACCGGCAACGTGCTGGTGCTAAGAGCTGCAAAGTATAGAAACCCAGACCCCAACGACCCCTAATTAGGCCCTAAACCCTACACCCCGCACAACATCTTAGGGGCTGAGTAGGTAACCTTTAACCTTTTGGGGCTTATATAAACCTATTATGATTCAAAAGGTTAACCTTTTTTGGGCTAAGGTACTCGGCCCTAAGACATGCTGGTGCTGCAGTGAAGGATTCCGGGTGTATACCAGCCACTCCGAAGGAGTGTGCGCTGAGCTGCCAGCCTCGGTGTCAATTCAGCGTGAGCAGTGTGCATGGTACAGCGTGGAAAGCAAAAAATATGATGACGATGATCCAGCCGTAAGTTGCGGTAAGTGCTGAACCTATCCCAGTTTTAGATTGCAGGCCGGTTTATATGATAGCATTTCTTTGAGCAGGGGGGTCGGTTTACGATCCAAAGCAGGTGTCCAGGCGTTGATGTCCCCACGTCTGTCTGGTCCGATTCATGTTTCCTGACACAGGGTCTCACAACCAGCCATCTTCAAGGTAGCTTCATGAGAGTGCCAACTCTACTGCAAGTAGCTCCAGTACTTTAGTAGCTCTCCCAACATTTCCAAAGTAGCACTTCTAGATAACTGAGATGTGCTGAAGTACGGTGTCTGCGTCTGACAGTAAACGCTTTTTGGGCCAGCGACATCATTATGGAAAACGCACTCAATGGCAAGAGGCTTAGTCCCCAAAGATCGAGGCCCTAAACCCCAAGCCATAAACGCTCGAAGCAAAGGCCAATACTGTCCATCTATCGAATCTATCTATCTGTCTATCTATCTGTCTCTCGATCGATCTATCTCTATATCTATGTATAACTCTATATATATATGCATATAGCCTTAGTTTGAATTCTAACTCTAACCCTAAACACCCAGAGCCCCAAACTCTGATCCCGAAACCCCAAACCAATCGGGCCGGGGGGTGCGACCGGAGAGCAATGGAATGTCCATCGCTTCCTTCAGTCAGCTGAAAGCGACATACCTCCAAGTCATTGAAAGAACCCTTGAGGCGGGGTTTTGTAGGGTACCCAGAGAGCCCAATACCCCCTAATTAAGGCATATACCTTTAAATGATAGGGGCCTTAGTATTATGATTTAAAGTATATTCTTTAATTAAGGGGTATTGGGCTCTCTGGGTAGAGGGTTTAGGGTTTACGCTTCAGGGTTTAGGGGTTAGCGTCTCGGTGAGCAGAGGATGGTCCTGGTAGTAGGGCAGATAACCTTCAACCTCGTTTGGGTACGATAATCCCCGTATAGGTTTTAGGGAATTTTAGGGCTTAGGATGTCGCCTTAAAGGTTAGGCGGCTAACCTTTAGTTCCACTCGTATACTGGTGAAACAGGGTTTCAGTAAAAATTCATTCAGGTTTTAAGGCGGTTTGCTGGGTCGTTTTTGGTTTGATTGAGCTCCTCGGAGACAGAAGATTCTGAATAAGGCTCGAGTAAGGTCATGGCTTAAGGCATGTTCAGGGGATGCAGGGGTTGTAAAGTGTTTTTGTTTTAGGGTTGTAGCGATTTGGGTCTGTGGGGTTGCGGGATTTGTTAAGTTGCCGTGGGGCTGCACAAGGGTTGCAGAAATATGCGATAAGCAGGAAGCTGGAAGCTCCTAGGAAATGTAGGAACCTGACTAAGAAACCCTGGCCCCATAACCCTAAAATATTAAGATCTACTGTTTCTAACAAACCCTAACAAAGACCCAAGGTTTCTTAATCAGGCTCCCATATTACGAGGTCCAGAAACTCCTCCAAAGCAGGTGAGTTTTGCAACGTACCTTGAAGAATGCGAGAGATCTTGTTTGGTTTTTGGGAGTCCATGGGAGCTGGGAAGATCTTGAAGAGCCTAGGAAGCTGGTAGCACTGCGTACAGGATCCCAGGGGGACCCGAAAGTGATGACATAGGAGTCTCCGGTACAGCCACGTCATGCTTTACGGACACACCCAAAACGCCCCTAGATTCTGGAACCCTTGCAGTACAGTAATCCTTAAAGGAACCCTTACAGTACAGGAATCCCTAAAAGAACCCTTACAGTACAGTAATCCTTAAAGGAACCCTTATTTCCAAATATCAAGACCCCTTTCGTACATCCCAGGAAGACTGATGAAAAGCCCCGCGGTGACTGGCGGCAGCCCCAAACTCCCATGATGCCAAAGTTAAAAAAAAAACAGGGGTCTACTATAGAAGCCTAAAGGATGACCAAAATCAGTCTTTAGAGTTCCTTGGGTTCCTTAGTACTATGATACTATAAAGGATGCCAAAGTTTTTCATCAGGGGTCTGCATTGACTTTTTTTTTCAGTGGGCCCCTTCTTTGCTTTTTTGTAGCTTTAGGTTCCCTATAAATCTACAAATCTACCCTATACCAAAAAGGGAGCCCTGTATATTCCTAGGTAACTCTTACACTGATGCACCTACTTGAAGCTGTTTATGGGCAAATTCCAGCAATATCCAAGATAGTGACCTGACCAGATTACCATTAGTTTGCGGCAGAGTATAATGCAGAAGACCCCACAACCGAAAAGCCTGGGCCTACGGTAGCTGTTCGGATATCGCTCCACTAGTAAAACGTAGCAGCAGCTTCCGGGAGAGCACCGGCCCAAGCAGCCCCACGCCTAAACCTGCTAGGGTTGGCACGGTTCCCATGTAATTGATGAAGTTAAAACCTAGATCCTGAAGAATGAACCCTTAGGTGAGGGATGTTGAACTCAGTAAGCGACCTCGTTTACAATGTACGAGCCTTTATGTTCACATATACATATAATGTATGTATTGGTATGTCTTTATATAGAGAAGATATGTGTATGTATGTGCGTATGTATGTGTATGCATGCATATATATATATTCATGTACATATTTATTAATTCATTTGTTTACATATACAAACATACATATATATATATACAAGTACATATGTGTATAAAATATATAGATATTTATTTATTTATGTATATTTATAGAAGCATCAGAAAACGACGAGTGCCCCAGACCCTAACTAGCGTGATTCTTATTATGAGAGGACCATACATTGGGGCGTGCAGCCCATGTGCTGCTACGACACCCAAAACCGTTTAAATTGTTCTAGGACCCTGTAACGCCCCAATAGTATGGGACTCTCTTAAACTCTTACATACCCTTGCTTAGGGGCTGAGTAGGTAACCTTTAACCTTTTGGGGCTTTTATAAGCCCATTATAAAGCAAAAGGTTAACCTTTTTTGGGCTAAGGTACTCGGCCCCTAAGCCCTTGTAAAAACCTTCTGACAGCTCGGCGATCCCAGCGACTTCGCCAGCGGTTCGCTGATCTTCGAGCGATGGCGTGCGGCTTTGCAGAGGTTCGCAGGGGATGATTAGTCACTTGGGGGCCTCGATAAATGGGGCGGGGCAGGTGCATACTGGTATTATTATAGTCTAATTACAGTGTTGCTTTTACGGAGCGATAGTCATAAAGGGGTTGATAGGGTTGATGAGGGCTTTGCAAGGTTAAGGGTTTAGGGTTAAGTCTGCCTTACGACTTTAAATAGGCCTGGACTGGAGGACAACATCGTATATCCAAAATAGACACTGTGACGGAAAGCTACGGCTGGACCCCAGCTACGAGACCGGCCTCTGAGTCTTACAGTCTTACAGTTACAGCGCGCCAGCATCTTGGGTTTTGGATTCATACTCCCGGGATTTACTAACTGGCTTTACGGTAGAGGTACGAGTTGCGAAAGCCAGGCAAGACACCAGAGCTGTACTTATGACCTCCCTACCAACTCGCCTGATCCCTTGAGCCGTGGGTTATGTCACTTTACGGTGCCACTGTCGCAGGGGTTTAGGGTTCGCTGCTTGCACGGGTTCAACTAACGATACTTGCCGAGTGTTTGCGCTGCACAGCAAAGCAGCCATCATACGAGAATCGGTTCATGCTCCGGTGGTACTTTGAAAACTTGTGCGTCTTTCTTATTATGACCCTATGCTAACTTAAACAAACCCATTGACACATGTTTTATGAACCCCTTAAGTTACTATCCACGGATCTCTTGAAATCTCCTCCCATTGCAAGCTCAGCGCAGGCGCCTTCGAGCAATGCAGGAGAAGGCACTGGCAAGGGTTTTGGTATCGAGGTTTGAAGATTTGGTTCAGGGTTAAGGGTTGTGTTTAGGGTTGAGGGTTTAGGGGGGTCGTAGGGCTCTGTATGCATACCTCAATCGCGGCTTTGAATGTTTTCCGCTAGTCTTACGCTTGACTGCCCTAGTGCTCGGCGCATGAACATTTCTTCCTCACTGCTGCTCCCACAGCATTCACGATGGATTTCTCTTGCATAATTCTAGTCTAAGGTCAGCAGAGTTTGTACAATATGGTTTTAAGAAGGGTTTACCGTGGTGGTAATTGTAGGATGTAGGTCTTGGCGTTGAAGTTCAGTGTTTGCAGCTTTGGCTTCGTAGCAGCCCGAACTAAAGCTCACTACTATGCCATCAAAGTATGTCGAGCACCGACCCTAAACCCTAAACCCCAAACCCCGCCTTTTTGGGCGGTAAAAGGTTTGGGGCCCTAGGCTGGCAAGACTCCACAAGCCTTCTGGCCGGCTTTAGGGGGCGACTTTCCCTGCCAGGATAAGTGATTACACTTGGAGCGACCTTTACAGGGTGCGAGGGGCGCGGTGTTTGTTGGAAACCCTTGCTTCTCATCGAGCGGCCACAGGCCAGCTGTGGTTTGCTGTGAATCGTTTATGTGTCGAACTGCGAAGGGAAACAGAGAGCAAGAAAGCTCCCCTTTAGCGGGGTTTGGGGGTGAACCCTAAACCCTAATTGAGGATAGTTGGGGTGGTTGGGGCGGGACTACATGCTGACTCAAGCGCGCGATAAACGAGTGCACCCCTATATTGCTGGAGTAGAAGCCGCACCCACCGCGCGCACACTGTATACACACCCTAAAGCCTACACCCGAAACCCTAAAGCCTAAACCCTAAACCCCAAACCCTAAGGCTTTACACCCGAAACCCTAAAGCCTAAACCTAAACCCTAAAGCCTAAACCCCAAACCCTACATAAAGCCTAATCCCCAAACCATAAAGCCTAAACCCCAAACCCTCAGCCTGAACCCCAAACCCGAAAGCCTGAACCGCAAACCCTAAAGCCTAAGCCCCAAACCATAAAGCCTAAACCCTAAACCCCAAACCCAAAACCCGAAACCCTTAAAAAACTGACCAGGCCGACCCCAGGGCCCAAGAGCCCGAACGTGAAAGCCTCGAACCCTGAGCTCCCCCCGGCCCATACGCAGCCAAAACAGAGACAAGAAAGAGCAGAAAAGGGGGTTTAGGGTTTAGGATTTTGGGTAGGATTTAGGGTTTAGGGTTTAGGAAGAAAGGAACCCCAAAGCCCTCAACCGGAAACCCTTTAGGGCTTAGGGTTTTGCATGGGTGTTGCGGTTCGGTACGGTTCGGTTTGGGTTTACTACGGCTTACCTCGACCCTATACCGTTCGGTGCGGTTCGGTTCGGTTTGGGTTTTAGCCCGGACCGGCTCGCGAATCCTCAATCTGTACCGCCAAGCGCTTATCCTCAACCTGTATGGGGTGCCGAGCGCTTATCCCCAACCCGAACGAGGCTGGGAGCTGGAATGAAGCCGGAAGGCCGCTTACCCAACTGGTTCGCTAATCCTCAACCCGTACAGAATGCCAGGTGCTTATCCTCAACCTGAATGAAGCCGGGAGCTGGAATGAGACCGGATATCCCGCAGGCCCGGCTGGTCCGCTGATCCTCAACCTGTATGGGGTGCCAGGTGTCTGTCCTCAACCCGAATGAGGCTAGAAAATGGTCTGGGGCTAGACGGCACGCTTACCCGGCTGAATAGAGCTAGGGGCATGGCGAATCGATACGTGGTGAGGGACGACGTGGAGTGCCTTCCACCACGGCCAGAACTGGACGACTGCAACGTGTTGCGCCGGGCCTTCCTGGAGGCACGGGAACTGCTGCTGGACGGCTGCGCGGAGGTGCACTTTAGCTGCGTATTCGCCGACTGCCAGCTTACGCTCCGAGTACTCTGCCTACATCCAACGGTTCTGTCGAGGAGTGAATGCCTAGTGGATACCTTCGTTCACCATGTGGATGGCGGCACCGAACATGGCGCCCTCTTGGCCGCCGGCACGGCTTGCACAGGCCCGGTTTTTGAGTTTTATTGCACGGAACAGGAGAGCTGCTGGGCTCGTCGAAGACCTCTACGCCGCCGCCAACTCATCCAATCCTTTCTGAACGATCTGGTGGACTGGATGGGGCCACACGGCAAGCGGGAGCGCTTCCGCATTCGCCAGGTGTCTCTCGACTGCGTGATGCATTGACCAGCCATGCGAAATGGTATAAAAGAACCTCAAGTCGATGTTGCCGTAATCGGCCGCTTGCGCTTGCGCACCCCCCTGTCAGGCAGCTCCTTCCTTTTCCTTTTAAAGGCTGTTTCATGCCAATTTCGCATTTGTTTGTTGAAACTCGTGCTTTGTACCAACATCACGAACATGCTTGTCGCTTGGATGTCTAGGCAGTAACATTGACTCAGTGTTGCAAGTCGAGGTCATCCACACGTCACGCATCCACCATCCACATCTACCCCAACCCCCCAGCCACACCATCCACACCATCCACCCCCGCCATCCATCCACCCACCCCACCCCCCCCCCTCCATCCACACGACCACCTCTTAGATCTGCTCCCCTTCGCAGAGGGTGGATGGAGGTGGTGAGGGGGAGGGAGATGTGGGAGGGTGGATTGGGGGAGTGGGGAGGGGATGGGCTGGATGGATGGGGAGTGGATGGATGGTTCGGTTCGGCACGGTGCGGTGCTTGGGATATGCACGGTTCGGCTCGGTTCGGTGTCGGTTCGATGCGGTAAGCGGTCAGTCTTGTTGAAACGCCCATGTTCGGGGCCCTATACCCTTAAGCCACTAAAACCCAGCCCAAAGCTGTAACTCCGGCCCTGCAAAGCCGGCCGTCAGAATCCTGCGAAGTACGGGGCACCGGGCAGCCACGCACATTTGCATTACCAGGCCTTGCTCTGCTTGTATAGGATCCTGGGACTTAGTAACTTAGAGGGTTCCTTGAGAGGGCTTCTATAAGGGATCCGTGGGGTTTTAGGTTGTAAAGATTATGATCCTGGGACTTCGTAACCTTTGAATCTGTAAAGTTTTCGTTTGAGGATGATGATCCTGGGACTTAGTAGCTTAAAGGGTTCCTTGAGAGGTTTCTATAAGGGATCGGTAGGGGTGTAGGTTGTAAGGATTATGATCCGGGGACTTAGTAACTTAAAGGGTTCCTTGAGAGGTTTCTATACGGGATCCGTAGGATTTTAGGTTGTAAGGATTATGATTTTGGGACTTGGTAACTTAAAGGGTTCCTTGAGAGGTTTCTATAAGGGATCTCTAGGGTTTTCGGTTTTGAGGATGATGACCCTGGGACTTAGTAAAATATAAAGGGCTGCTTAAGCGGGCTCCTTATCTATAAGGCATCTAGGATTACTTAAAGGATCATGGGACTTAGCAACTAGGCTTATAGGTAGGGGTGGTGGCGGTGGCGGTGGTAGTAGTGGTAGTAGTGGTCGTCGTCGGGGCTATAAGGGAGTACTGCGACTGATGATTCCGACGCCAAAGCATAGCTTATACCCTTTTGAATGATCGACCATCCATGTTCCATGATCGCAGAGAGTTTACTATTCCGCCTTGGAGTGAGCAGCTTTGTAGGGTGGTGCATGGGATTGCAGCTCAAAAGACTGTTCCAGCACTTCACCGAGCTTCAGAATGGCTCATCTTGTTAATTCTATCTCTCTGGAGGCAATACAGGACGAACTTAAAAGGCCTTTCGGCTTACAGACCTGAGCCGACGTTCTTGGGGAAGGCACAGTACACAACCTACATGATAATACAATGACCGTTTTGTAGATGACATCATTGCATTTCTAGCTGCTCAGTGCTGCCGGTTTCGCACGCTTGAAGCTCCTACAGCTGAAGCCGCAAGCCTTAACTCCCCTAAACCCTAACCCCTGAACCCCTAAATCCCACACCCTAATCACAAAGCTCAACTTGGAAGCCTTAGATCCCAAGACCTAGGCCTCAAACCCAGCCCTTAGAACTGCAAACCCTGAACCAAAAACAATACGCCACCACACACCCTAAACTGACTGGCTCCTAGTAGGGAATGGAGGAATGGCTTTTTGGGACTACTTTAGAGGACCTCGAATAACTATCATAGGGATCCATTCCCCCATTCCCTACTTAGAACCAGGAAGTAAAACCCAAACCATGGGCCCATGCCACCACCCCGAGAAAAACGAAGACCGTCAGCCTTTAGTCGAAGCCGTCCAGGTGGCCAAATAACCAAATTCTAACCTGGCCGGGCATAGACTAACCATAGCTAGGACTAGGGCGTTGATTCCTGGTGTGTGGGTGTGTGTGTGTGCGCGCCATCGTTTTGGGATGACGAATGTAATGTTCTATAGCTTTCCAATTCCAAATAAGCTGTGGCAGCGTTAGCAACTTTGCTCAGGCACCGGGACACGAGGATGTCTTGGGTGCGGTCAAGGACCTCGCCGCTCGCCCCTGTTCTTGTTCTGGGTTTATGGCTCGACTTGGACGAAGAAGTCTTCGAAAAAGGGTTCAAACCAAGCTGAAGGACTGCAGAAAGCATGGACGACTGGAGCTCTATGCTAAGTTACCTTGGAAACCTCGGGAAACTATCAGCCTTTCAAATCTCCCGTCAACATGAGCATGACTAAGTTGTTCTCTCAATGCTGCAAAAGACTGGCAAGGCCTAGCTGCTACCACACTTCCTTCATACAGGTGATGATATAAATCCTGCATTAGTTTAAGGACCGTAAATTATGGGAAATATGGTATATTACTTACTATGGCATGGGTAATGCAGGATTTATATCATCAACAGTATTATGCCCCTCACCTAGGAACTTTGGCGATGTAGCTGTTGTTTTCACCTTTTGCAGGTTCTTCCCTCAGCTCTAAATCCTAAGCGTTGTTCATGTCTTCTGCGTTTGACATGCTAAAGCCAAGGAAGCCCAAATGCCCTCAGTTTACATAAAGTTGCACGATTAAAGATCCAAGGAGGAGTTAAAGGACATTCCTTGATGTGCAGCTGTTCGGGTCTGGTCGGTGTGGCTTCTCTGTTTCAGAGGGTCTGCTTTCACAGCCGTACTTGGCCGATGAAATTTCAAACGATCATGTCAAAAAGCAAGAGTTTGAAGGTCATGTTTGTGGTGTTCTGTGTTTGTTTGGTTTCGAAGGCTTGAAGGGAGAGAGGGTGTGTGGTCATTCTGAGTTGTCGCAATGGAATCCCGGAAGAAGACTGTCTTGACACAGATTAACACCAGAATACCTGTGTGAGGGGTTCCTCTAACCTTGCATGTTAGAACCCTAAAAGCTCTAAACCAATTTCTAAAGCATCCTTCAATTTAGAGTCCAGGACCAAAAGAACCAAACAATGCTCATGACTCCCTAGGGGTACCAAACACACCTAAGTATTAGATCCTGTGGGTACTTAAACGCTAATGTTCAATCTCTCTGAACCTACTCTAAACCCTAAATCCTAAGCCTTAATCCCTTATGCTCAGGTAGATGCAGGCGCAGCGCAAAAAGGCGCACAAAAGCGACCCGAGGGGGCTTCAGCTCTAGAGTCTCTAGAGGGTCACGACTCACGGTGTAGGGTCTAGGACTTCGTCGTCGTCGTCGTCGTCGTAGTAGTAGTAGTAGTACTAGTACTAGTACTAGTACTAGTACAGGGTGCAAAAGGCGTTTAGGGCTCATGACGTTGAGTTTGGGTGAATCGCCCTGACAACAACCTCCTGTGTTTTTCTCTTTTAGGGGTAATGGCACCTTAAGACTGAAACGGGGTACTGCAAAGATTTGTTCTCCATCTACCAATCGAGCTTGGAGGCCGGATTTAGAAGTTAGATGAATTTAGCCTGGATACCTTGATTGGGGCGGAAATTTTGGGGCTGTGCGGTTTCAACACCAAGCTTGTAAGCAGCTGCTGCCAGCAGTACTCAACCCTAAACCCTGACAACTTTCTGAGCCTTCGGCCTTTCGGAAAGGGCCAGTTCCAGAAGGGCCAAGGGCGAGGCGGAGCTCTTGGAGATCTTGGTTCTTTCCTTTTTCAGTAGGTCAAGATCTCCCATTCAATCTGCTGAGTGGGCGAGGCCATCAGCCCCGAGGCAGAACAAAGCCAGGCTACGGGACTAGTCAGGAGGATGCCGCTGGCAAACTAGCCCCTAAACTTGGCCCTAAATAACCCTAAAGCCTAAACCAGCCCCTAAACCCCAAACCCTACCTGCTGGCGTGGATGCAACGGCGACCCGTTCCACTGCGGTATCCGGGTCTCGGGCCTTTCTTTGGCCCCCTCATGCGGAAGGCAGTGCCCCTAGACCCCTACCGGGACTGGGTTTAGGGGCCCTAACCCGTAAGACTTGAAGTACGTTAGGCTTTCGGGTCTAGGGCCTCCGAAAAGAGTGATTCAGGGAATATTGCTTGCCTACTTGGAGGACCATGGGACTTAGATAGGGTTATAGGCACTTTAAATGAGAGTAGAAGTACGTCGTAGGTGTAGTTGCCTCATTTCGAGCCCTACTGTTGATGATATAAATCCTGCATTACCCACAAAAAGCAATATACCATCATAATTCCCATGGTTTAGGGTCCTTAAGGTCATGCAGGATTTATACCATCAACAGTACCTCATTTCGAACCCTAGCTAGCTACTCAGTCCCATGGATCCTCTCAGTAGGGAGCTTTTGAGTGTCTTTATCGGCAGGCTTCGAAATCTTGAACCGTGTGGACGTCGCGCCGGCGCTGATGATTCTGGACCTGGACGAAGAGGCCTCCTCAACTTGAGGGATCAACCGTTTCATCGTGTTAGGGGTTTAGGGTTTAGGGTATTAGGGGCTTTAGGGTTTAGGGTATTAGGGGCTTTAGGGTTTAGGGTATTAGGGGCTTTAGGGGCTTTACGGTTTAGAGTTTAGGGGGTTGGCGATGGAGGGTGTAGTAGCGGCGCTTAGGAGATTTCGTTATGGGTTTGTGCATGCAAGGTTGTAAAAGGGTGGTTGTCAAAACTATGGTCCTCTGGGTCCCCTAAATAGTAGGTGCCGTATTATATGAAGGACCCAAAAAGGGACCCTATTTTGGAGAACTACCCATATGGTTCTGTTTTATATGAACCTGGAAGCGGTCGACGGTGCTTGGGATCCCTGCACCACAACCTGCAACCTGCAACCATGGACGACAGAGGTCTGAATGATTAGTATTAGGCTCCCATTATGGCCTTTGTATGGTTCTCGTTTTAGAATATACCCCCCCCCGCAATTTTATCTTAGTTAAATTAGCGAAGCGCTTCTACCAGTTATTTTACCGAGGTGTCGATATTAGGATTTGGCCTGCAAGCCAGACAGACCAAATAAAGATACAACAACACGCTGAATACAATAGCTCATATTGTCAGTGTTTGTCGGTACTTTATCCAGAATAGCATGATAGTTCTGTAGGCCCTTGTACCATGGTAGCTTTTCCCCAGACCTGTGCCAGAAAAGACCCCTATGAAAGCCAAGAAACTTCTGTAAGTCTTTGGAAGTGTCCTAAACCCTAAGCCATAAACCCTAAACCCTACACCCTAAACCCTAACCCAAAGCCACAACAAGCCCCAAAGCCGCGGGAAAGCCCTAGAAGCCTCTACCGGCGCCCATATGAAACCTTTACGATCCGGTTCAATTTCCCCGAAAGCCCCAGCGCCCCTTCAAACCACATGTTTTAAACAAAACGCACATAGGAACCCTTACATGTCTGGTGGAGCTAAACAAAGCTTCACGAAACCCCCATAAAAGAACCTCGGTAGAACGCGACAGAAAAGTCCGCGAAGAAGCCCATAAGGCCTTGTGAACATCCTGTAAAGCCCCACTTAAAGGATCATGGAACTTAGTACTTAGGGGAATATAGAAAAGGTACCTATGGCAAAGACTCATGATGATTCATCGCCCTAACTAAGGTACCTATATCCTTACTTACTAAATCCCATGATCCCCCAAGTAAATCTTAAACTCCCGTAGGCCTTATAGAACCCTTATAGATCCCTTGCAGGAACCCTCCAAGTTACTAAGTCCCAGGATTATAATGCTTAAAACCCTAGAAGCCCTAGAGATCCCTTTACGGAACCCCTAAAGTATCCCTTTAAGGAACTCCTACAGATCCCTATAAGTATCCCTTTAGGGAACCCTTACAGATCCCTTTAAGGAACCCTGTAAGTATCCCTATTAAAGATCCCCATAAGGAGCCCTTTACGTAATCCCTTTAAGTATCCCTTTCAGGAGCCCTTTGAGTAATCCCAGGATTCCCCCAAGTCACCCGCGAGAGGCCGCCGGCAGATTCCCCGAGGTCCCGGAAACCGCGGAAGGCGCCGAAACGGCCTCAGAGGAGGCCCTGGGGATCGAGGGTTCCTTTGTAAGGGATCTCTAAGGGTTCCTCTAAGGGATCTATAAGGCTTCCTTTAAGGGGATCAATAAGGGTAGTTCTCTAAAATAGGGGTTCCTTTAAGGGATCGGGTTTAGGATGCAGGGTTTAGGGTTTGGGGTTTCTTTAGTGGGATCTCTAAGGGTAGTTCTCTAAAATAGGGGTTCCTTTAAGGAATCGGGCTTAGGGTTAAGGGTTCCGGGTTAGGGTTGAGGGTTTAGGGTTCCTTTCAGGGATCTATAAGGGTTCCTCAAAAGGATCTCTAGGGTTATAGGGTTTTAAGCATTATAATCCTGGGGCGTTGTAATTTAGACGGTTCCTTTAAGGGATCTCTAAGGGTTCTTTTTAAGAGCTTCCAAGTTTGGGCTTTGGGTGTTCAGGGGTTCGGGAGCTTCGGGTATAGAGTTTAGGGAGGTTCGGGTTTTCGGGTGTAGGGTTTGGGGCTTTTGTTGTTTAGGGGTTAAGAGATTAGGGGTTGACAGCTTAGGGTTAGGGGATTTAGGGGATTTAGGGGTTTCAGGTTCGGCTGTAGTAACGTAGCACAATGGTATTCAAGGTGCTGAATCCAGTAAGGCAATGCAGGTACTTAGGGCTTAGGGCTTCTATCGAGGCTTAACAAGCCAACAAGGACTCGAGAAGGCAGCCATGCTTGCTGAAGTTATAACTAGAACAGGGTTCCTGCAGTTGTGCAAGGACGTGACGTTAGAAGGAGATTTGCGGGTTTTATCGGGGTTTACGGTAGAGCACAGGGGCCTTAACAGAACAACAATTTCATGAAGGATCTGGGGTACATTATATGAATTGCAGAAGCACAACAGGAACCCTTAAAGGAATCCATGTAGCAATGGTACTGACGTATTAATGAGCCTTAAACACATAGCCCCGAGGCTGAATTTAGCTTGGGGTTCAGGATCTAGGCTTTAGGGGTTTGGGGCCCAGGATCTAGGCTTTAGGGTTTGGGGTCCAGGATCTAGGGTTTAGGGGTTTCCGATTCAGGATCTAGGGTTTAGGGAGGGTTTAGGGGTTTAGGGTTCAGGGTTGTGTTGGAGTCCCAGAATGGCTTCTTGACTCTAAGACCAGCAGTGAGCTGTAGAAATGTGCTCGCCTCCATCGCTGTTCCGATAGCTGTTCGATGCTCCCTGCTGTCGTGTCTTATATAGGGGCTTTAGTAATTACCTATACTATTTTGGGGGTTCCTTTATTATAGCTATAGTATAAAGGGCCCCAAAACCCTGTTCTAGTTATTCAGTCCCCTTACATTATGCAGAAGCTGTCTCCCTAACCCCCGAAGCCAAAACACTTGATTCCAAAAAACCCTAAACGCCAAGCCCCCAAGTCGCAAGACCCAAATGGGCCGCCGCTCAACCCTGAGAAATGCAAAACCCTAAAAGCAACACTGGACACTGAAAGAATGTGCAACAAGGAAACCCTAAACCCTAAATCCCTAAACCAGGAAAAGGACCCAAGTAAACCGCCACTGAAGCTCGAACCACTGCGCAACAAACGCACAGGAAAAGGAAGTGATGCCCCTCTTTGGTGCTCCTGCGCCGGCCGCCCCTCGCCGAAAGCGCCCGAAGGTCACACCAGGCCCGGCTTGGGGGGTCCAGGGCTTAAGTCTAGGACATATTCAGATGGGTAGTTAGCGTTACCGGAGCCTTGTAGATGGTCTATATATGGGTGTCCGGTTTAGCATCTCGGGTCTGGGGATCCGAGTTTAAAGTTTAGGGCTCTGCCGTAATTTGTTCCAAGGTAATCTGTTTCATTGCTTGGTGACATTTACAAGCCTCCAGAACCCCTCAATTCGACAAGATACTTGAAACGGAGAGGGGTGCGTGTATGCCACTGTAAGGATCCTAGTAGCAAACGCTTCAAATCCCAAACTGCAGGGTCCGATCCAGAATTCGTAGTCTTGGGATATGTCAGCGATCAGAGGAGACTGTAATTACGAGAGACATGTTTGAGTCGGTCGGGGCGGACATCAGGAATACGCCTCACAGTTACTACATCCTACCTCTTACTCAGCGTATCACCGAATTACTTTCTAACTCCCCTGTCATCCTAACCCCAAAGCCTAAGCCCTAAAGCTTGAACCGAACCCCAGGCACTAAATCCTGCACCCCAAAACCGTTACTCACGAAGGCCTGGGATCCCTCAATACCCCAGGCACCCAAGGAACCCCCAAAGTCCTAAAGACAGGAAAACTATAGTGTACGTGAAACCCTATTCAAAATATTACCCACTGCCTAAACCCGTAGAGGCTTCCCTGCCATCGCGCCGGGTACTCCTGGCTTTCGTCCGGGCGTCCCCGGGACTCCGGGGCCCGGGATGCCACGCACGCCAGGCACCGTGGTTTAGGGGTTTCGGGTTTGGGGGGTTTCGGGTTTGGGGGATTTAGGGTTTGGGGGGTTGGGGCCTCAGGAGTTTAACGGTTTAACGTTTCGGGAATTAGGGTTCAGGGTTTGGAGGGTAGGAGTTCGTTGTAGGCTTCAACGTTTGTAATCTGTGCGACGGGCTGCTCCATCTTTTCAGCTGTAGGACTACAATCACAAGCATGTCGGAATGGTTCGACCAGTATTGAAGCCTGAATAACTACCAATACTGTGCCTTCGGTTTCCTTTTCCATAACTTTTAGTCATGGTGTTCGGTTTCCTTTTCATACCTTTTAGTCATTGTGGCATGACATGCCCTTAGAGTAAAGCCCTATTGAAACGATTCAGCCAAGCATTGAAAGAATCAGAGGATTGTGTTTTTCGGGTTCGAGGTGAAGTTACTATACTTATATCTACGTATGACCGCAGTTAGGCTAAGTATTTCCCAGCTCATGAAGGGCCCTGAACCCCTAAACTCCCCTTAAGCACTAGCACGCACATTAAAAAAGAAAAAGCTAAACCCACAAAGCCTTGAGGCCCTAGAATTTCGGAGGCCATCGCACCGTGTACTCCTAGCTTTTGCTCCCGCGTCCCTGGCTTTCCAGGTCCCTCGATGCCGCACACGCCAGGCAGTGGCCGATTTAGGGTCTAGGGGTCTAGGTTTATGGGTTAGAGTCTAAGGGTTTAGGGTTTAGGGACCCTAAACCTTAAACCGCATTTGTGGCTTAGGGTTTACGTAGATGCAAGGTGGTTTGATGCCAGTTGCGGCGGTTCCGCCCTGCACTCTTTCCCATTTCGGCCGCCTCGCAAAGCACTTTTCTGCTTCTAGTCGCTATAGTAAGTACAAGGACAAGGGGACTTAGTATAGACAGAGCGGAATAAGTATCCTACAACTCTACTTATCAGTTATGACTACTTGCTACGTCCCGTGATCCACCTCTCAGTAAAAGCCTGCGTTTTGTACCCTCCCCATCACCTTAAAGCTCAAACTCTACACCTCGAAACCCCAAACTCCACAACCTTAGGCCCCAAGCCCCAAACCCCGAAAATTTCAAGCACCCAAAGCCCTAAACCTCAAACTTTTGGGTTCTGTTTTTATATTCTTAAAGCTTAGCTTCTTAAATCCTATATCTAAAAATCTGAAACCTTACCCCAAAAGCCCTAATCCCGAAGCCCCAAAGAGGTTTTAGGGTTTAGGGTTTAGGGTCCCCTAAGCCCCGAAGCCCAGGCGTGCCTCTTCCGCTGAGTCCGGGCACCCCCGGCCCCATCTCGCCGGCGACTCCCGGGCCTGCCCCCCGCACGCCCGCGAGCAGCCACTGGGGCTGGCAAGGAGTTCCTTAAAGGGTTCATCGGTTGAGGATGTGAGGCTTTGGGGTGTAGGGTTTCTAGCTTAGGGTTTAGGGTTTTGGGGTTTAGGGTTTAGGGTTTAGTTCTCGGTGGGTAGTTACCGTTATAGAAGCCTTATAGAAGATATATATGCCTGAAAGAAGCCCCTCATAGAAGCCCTATATACCCCTAAACTCCCCACCTGTAGTTTCCTTTAATTAGGGTTTGGTTTAGGGTTTAGGGTTAGGGCTTGGTGACAGTGTTTGAGTTTGCAGAAACGGCTTCGGGCTCTGTAACTTTATCGCTTC